AAGGTACCGTCCCTACACACTGCTCCCCGGGCGCTGCATTGGTGGCTGCCCACTGCTTCACTGGGTGAATGGGTTAAATGCAGAGGAACTATTTCCCTATGGGGACTAACACACACTTTAGAAGGGAAAACCTGTAGTGATCCCGTATGTGTCAGGGGTATGCCTATACATATGTTCACCCTGACCGGGATAGGGTTACCGGGCCCTGCTTTGGAGCCAGGCCTGGGGAGGGTGGCCAAGGGCGAGCGTCTGGTGGCCGGGCCCTAGTCCCTGGGGCCCGGCCGGGCACACCCAGAAGAAGGGACATGGGCCCATCTTCCTGCAGGCCCACCACCCGCAAGAGGCACCATAGGTTAGGTGCATTGTGAGCTGGGCGGTGGCCAGGAGCGGAGGTCCCCGGCTACCAAGACTGACAACTGGGACATGGAATGTCACCTCTCTGGTAGGGAAGGAGCCTGAGTTAGTGCGTGAGGTTGAGAGGTCCCGGCTAGATATAGTAGGGCTCACCTCAACGCAAGGCTTGGGCTGGAGTTTCCCCTCGTGAAAGGTGGTGGGCTGGGGTGGGTATCCTGGTATCCCTGGTATTCTCATAATTGTTAAATTATTTTCATATTTCTTATATCTATTTTCAAATTTTTATTTTGATATCTTGGAAAGTTTCTATACAATCTATTTCCTTTTTACAGGCATTTTACAATCTTTTTTTTTACATTCACAACATTTGTTTGGCTGGACAATTTTTGTCATTTTTTAAAAACTACTTAAAGAACTGCATCATGTGCTTTATTAACATTGTTTTTAGTCCTGTTCCAAAAATAATTTCAATCCATCCATTGCACAGAAGATCTGCGTCGCCAGACAGGAAGCAGCTTTGAAGTCCTGCCACAAAACAGTGAGTCACACTGAACTGTGTCAGCCTGAACTTAAAATATATGTAAATTTACAATAGTATGTTTGTGCACTCTGTTAGAACTAAAACCTCTGGATTTAAACCTCACTGAAACAAAAGGAGTCACTCTTCAGTATGCTGCATGGCTGTGTTTCGCGGCCTTTTCTAAATCTGTGTTTCCCGCAGTGTCTGAGCTGAGGGTTGTTCTGCTGGGGAGCAACTGGACTGAGAAAAAAGAAGTAGGAAATCTCTTACTGGGACAGACTGTGTTTAGCAATAAGCCTAAATGCTTTGTGAGAATTGGTGGACCACTAGGGGACAAAAAAATTGTTCTTATCAACACCCCCTACCTGCCTCCTCTCCACACCTCCCACCATGATCTGACAGAGTTTATAAAAGACTGTGCAAAACGCTCTTCTCCAGGACCTCATGTGTTCCTGCTGCTTGTACAGCCTGAAAACTTTACAGAAGAACACAAACGGAGACTCTGGAGAGTCCTTCAAGGCTACAGTGATCGATCATTTGATCATTCACTGATACTGACCTCAGCACCCAGAGAGGAGACCTCAGGTTCTGTGGAAGACTTCATGAAAAGTCCAGCATTAAATGAAATGATCAAAAATTGTAAATGTAGATACTTGAAGAGGAGCGACATTGAACTTCCAGAGCTGTTAACACATTTGGGTGAAATTACAAAGGACAACAATGGAGAGCATGTCAGCTATGAAGCTTTTGAGGACACAGAACAGAATTTATCAGAAGATCAACAACCCCCCCCCAAAAAAGGACTCAGAGGCTCCTATTACTGACGCTGTTAAAGCTGCAGGTAAGATGAGAAACTTCTTCTGACAAGGATGAAATACACAGAATATACAACATCTATGATTCAATAATCAGCACAGCAATTTCTTATTTTGACAGGATTGCCGAATAAATTAAAACTAATCACTCCTCAAGTTTCTGGAAAAACACCTTTGACCAACAGTAAGTAAAATTTTCTCAGGGCTCATCCTGTTATCATTCTTTTGTCCTTTTTTTGGTCTGAACATCCAACAGTTTTAATTTTGCTAGGATAGGCTCCAGTGCCCCTGCGAGGCTGAAAAGGATAAGAAGAAGAAAATGGATGAATTATATTATATATATTAGTAGGCTTGTGCAGAACTTCGGTGAGCTGAGGTTGTTTAAACTTAACTTAATAAGTCTAACTTTGACATTAAACAAACAGTTGTGCAAATAGCTTAAATGTTTAACACATTTCCACACAATGACGAACTGTGTTGGTGTTTGGATTTTAATCTTTAAGTGTGACTCACATCACATCACATTTGACCAAGTCAATCGATGAGTAACACTAAAGGTTCTCTGAGCATACTGAGGACTGAAGAGATCTCGTACAAGCCAAGTGTTGTGATTTTAGATTAATTTGTGTTATTGTTGTGTTGTTGTTGTATCACAGTGTCTGCGTTCAGGATTGTGCTGCTGGGCAAAAGTGAAGATAAGAAGACAAAACTTGGTAACTTGATCATTGGGTACCAAGGATTTCACTGCCAAAAACTCATTCACTGTGTGGCCTCATGTGGAGAGTGGAGAGGAAAACTACTGACAGTGGTAAAAACTCCAAACTTGTTCAGTCTGTCTGAGGAGGACATGAGAAGAGAAGTGAAGACAAGTGTGAGTCTCTGTCATCCTGGACCAAACGTTCTGCTGCTGTTGGTGAAACCTTCTGATTTCACTGAGGAGAACAAACAAACTCTGAAGTCCATCCTGAGTCTGTTTGGTCACAATGCCTTTAAACACTCGATGGTCGTCATCACACATGAGAATGAAATGAGTTTCTCTGTGAATGAAGTCCTCAGAGAATGTGGAGGAAGGCACTACAACATGTCTGAAGATAACTATGGATCGTTAATGGCGAAGATTCAGGAAATGACAAATCAATACAATCACCTGATCAAACCATCTTTAAACCTGGTTCTGTGTGGGAGGAGAGGAGCAGGGAAGACGTCAGCAGCCAAGGCCATTTTAGGTCCGACTGAGCTTCATTCAGCCTCCAACTCATCAGAGTGTGTTAAACATCAGGGAGAGGTGTGTGGACGTTGGGTTTCCCTGGTGGAGCTGCCTGCCTTGTATGGAAAACCTCAGGAGGCAGTGATGGAGGAATCACTCAGGTGTATCTCCCTCTGTGATCCTGAGGGTGTCCATGCCTTCATCCTGGTCCTACCTGTGGATCCCCTCACTGATGAAGACAAGAGAGAGTTAGAGACCATCCAGGATGCATTCAGCTCTCGAGTCAATGACTTCACCATGATTCTGTTCACTGTGGACTCAGATCCTACAGATCCAGCTGTTGGTAACTTTGTAAGCAAAGACCCAAATATCCAGGAGGTTTGTCAACGTTATGGACAAAGGCCTGTTATTGTTAACATCAAGGATAAAGAGCAGATCCACACGTTGTTGGACACTGTGGAGCAGATGAGATGTACAAACAAACCATGCTGCTACACAGCTGTAACATTTGCTCGAGCCCAGATTGATCTGATAACTAAAAATATGGTCACTCGTAAGTAATTTAATGCTTTTTTTTAAATCATTAATCATGTTCGACATTATATTCTAACATCTACTTTATAAACTGTTCACATTTAAAGAAAATCATGTGTTTACAGGTGATGAAGAGAAGCAGAACACGGAGCCTCTCAGGATTGTGCTGATAGGAAAGACCGGCAGTGGAAAGAGCTCATCAGGAAACACCATCCTAGGAAAGGAAGTGTTTAAAGAAATGCCAAGTCAAACATCAGTCACCAAACAGTGTCAGAAAGCACAGGGTGAGGTGGACGGCCGTCCTGTTGTTGTGCTCGACACTCCTGGTCTGTTTGACACAACTCTGTCACATGAAGAAGTTCATGAGGAGATGGTGAAATGCATCAGTCTTCTGGCTCCAGGACCACACGTCTTCCTGCTGGTGTTAAATATTGGTCGTCTCACAGCAGAGGAGAAGGAGACATTAAAACTTATAAAGGAAGGTTTTGGGAAGAATTCAGAAAAGTTCACCATCATTCTTTTTACTGAGGGACATAAGCTTAAAAAAATGTCTATTAAAGATTATATTGAAAGTGGATGTGATGATTCCTTTAAGAAGATGATTGCTGACTGTGGAGGAAGATACCATGTGTTCAATAATGCAGACGAAGAGAACCGCCAACAAGTCAGTGAGCTGATAACAAAGATTGACACCATGGTGAAGGAAAATGGAGGAAACTGCTTCACCAATGAGATGCTGGAAGAAGCTGAAGCAGCGATAAAGAAGGAAATGGAGAGAATCCTGAAGGAGAAGGAAGAAGAGATGAAGAGAGAGAGAGAGGAGCTAGAAAGAAAACATGAGGAAGAAAAGGAAGTCATCAAAAAAAGATTGGAAGAAGAGAAGAAAAAATTACAGCGGGAAAGAGACCGGGAACTCAAGGAGATGGAGGAATATCTAAATAAGGAGCGTGAGGAGAGGAAGAAAGAACAGGATATGAGAGAAGAACAGAACAGGAAACGGGAAGAGGAGGAAGAAAAGCGTAGGCAGGAGTTTAAAATGCAGCTTGAAATGTTGGACAAACAAATTCACTCAGAAAAAGAGGAAAAGAAAAGTGTGGACCAAAAGCTGGAAGAGAACAGAGAAGAGATGAAGAGAAAACAAGAAGCCTGGGAGAAAGAACGAAGAGAATGGTGGGAGAAACGAAGACAAGAAGATGAACAGAGACGACAGGAGGAGCAAAAACGACTGAAAGAAGAGAAAGAAAAAATACAGCAGGAAATAGAAAAAAAGAAAAAGAAAAGAAAAGAAGAAGACGAAATGAGGAGAGAAGAGGAGAAGAAAGAACGAAATCAGCTGGAAGAAAACTATAAAATACGTGTGGAAAATCTGAAGAAGATGCATGAAGATGAGGCCAGAAAGAAAGCTGAAGCGTTCAATGAATTCAAAGAGAAACACAACAAAGAGTTCGCAGCTCAGAAGGAGGAGCACGAGAAGAAACTTAAAGACAAAGATGAGAAGTACAACCTGTTAAAGGCTCTGGCTGAGCACACTGAAAAACAAAAGAGAGAAAAGCATCAAGCAGAAATCAAAGATGTGATAAAATGTCTTTCCAAGAAGAGAGGGAACGTGAAAAAAATCAAAGAGTTGCTGATAAAACATGAGGATCAAATGAAGATTGCAAAAAACCAGGAGGAAAAGGAAAACCTGCAGAAAATCCATGAAACAGAAATAAGTGAACTAATACAAAAACTTCTGGATGAAGTTGAGACATTTTCCTGCAGCATTTTATGAGATTTTTTTTGTGTTTTTGTGACAGAGCTCCATGAATAAAAGATTTTCTGTACATTTAGTTAAATGTTGAGATGAGAATACCAGTGTGTGTGCTGATGCTTATAGATCTGAATCTACTTAATCGAGCGCAACAGAATCCAGATTAAACTGCTTATGATTTTCTAACTGATCAGATATTCATAAATTTTATGGTCAATTTGTGACAGAATGTGACAGAATTCTTAATTGATCTTATAAATTCTTACTTTCAGGATTGCGTTCCATTTTGTTTCTTTTGTGAATCATTGACATGTGTAGTATGAATTGCTGCCATGTAACTCTTAAGGTTATAGAAAATTTTGAAGCAGTTAAATTTTTTGGCATATTTTATGTTGATTATTTTCATGTAGTACCATATTAAACAATAGAAGAAGCTTCAGCTGGTTATTAGATTTTTGGACATTTGTTGTAATTTTATAAATATTCAGTAGTAAATAAATATGAATATCCTTTATGCTTTTTGATGATTAAAGAAAAACAGTGGAAATTAATTTCTCCATGTGTTCTTGTTGTTCTATCTAGGCAATTGAAAATTATCATCCTTTCTATCCCCTTTCGTTATATAAGAATAAGTATTTGTCAGCCAAGAGAGGACGAGCCTGATGCTGGAGGAATAAAGTCTCAACAAATAAAATGAGCTTTAAAGGCTGATAAACACTGAGTGTAATGACATAGTTATCTACCAGTTTGAGGTTGTCACAGCAGAGCATTTGTCTCGACACATGCAATGAAATGAAATGACCAAAAGCAACCAAAGATGTCCACTGTTTCAAATATGATTTAATATTTCTTTCAGGAGTTGACAAACTCCAAAATGATTCAATCAATAAGACATCAGGTTGTTAGGTAAACTGACACAGATGGATTACGTGGCAGAAACACACACGGACACCAAATAGTTTGTGATGCAAGTTTATATACACGAGTAGGGAATATTTACAAGGGAAGGGGCTATATACAGTGATAGATAAAAATGTGCCAGGAGATTAACACCGAGGAGATGAGACGGAGCCGAGGTATGCAGGTAGGCAGGTGAAGCACCGGAGCTACCTGACAACAAGGAACAAAACAGAGTTTACGGCGTACCATTGATAGCCGAACGTTAAACACAAGTGGACAGAGAGAGTTGGAGAGCTTACTTGACACACAAACCACAGCTGCTGCAGTGACCACAGCCTGATGGAACGTAGCACTCCGTCGCGGATCCACAATAGCCAACACAAAATGGAACAGGCTAAGACAAAAGAGAAGCAGTCAAAACGTGGATCCCTAAAACATACAGCTCCACAGCGTAGAATCAACAGATTCAGCATGTGCTAACT